GTTTTATCCGTGAAGATCGGCTTTTCCCATAAGAGTACGTGTAAAATCAGTGTAAATTAAAATAGTTATATCTCAGCAACTGTTTAGTGGATGCATTTTTATTTTTCTGCAATAAATAAATTAGGAAGACTAAAAGAACAATTTCACAAATTTTTAGCGACTTTGTACTATTTTGAAGATAGGTCCGATCATCCTTAACATTGTGAATAATGTTTTTCTTGTACGTTTAATATAATGTTTCACAACATTGAATAAGAAATATTTAAACTTTCTTTTAACAGTATTGTTAGATATTGTTTAGTCTTCGATACTGTGATTGAGCGCGGAATGTATTATTCCACAAAACGGAAGAGAAAGTTCACCCGGGTGTTCACGTTTTCGAATACACCTCTAGTCAGTTCAGCTGATGAGTGTTGATCAGATAATTGAACTTCAAATCAGACTCCTCTTTATATTATGACTAGATGAATTTCTCTTATGAGAAATTACGACCTCGATCAGTCGCACGTAAAGCTTGCAATAAAATTTGTAACATATTAAAACTGTTGCAACTATGTTGAGCTTAACATTGGCAAAATTGTTAATATAATGTTTCGGAAACGTTTCTATGATATTCAAAATACCATGTTGTAAAACAATATGTTTACAATATTTATAAAACATTATGTTATGTCAGAACGTTACAAAATTAACGTAAAGTTAATAATTTCTGAATATTAATTTCATGTTTCTTGTTTACTGGGCTGTTTATTTACCGTTGCGCACGCGCACGCGCGAGAGAGAGAGAGAGAGAGAGAGAGAGAGAGAGAGAGAGACTTTTTAAAAAAATCACCGTAAAATCCCTCATCGAGATGTGAGAAGCAGCGACCGGGCCTCGCGGCCAAAATTTGCGGCCGAGGTGAGGACGCGCGAGAACCGCGCGGTATGCGCGACAGGCACGCGCATCCGGCACCCGCGAGTCTAAGATAATAACGATCCGAGGGCGTATCTGTCTGTCGCCCACGAAAAAAATCCACGAAACGTGTAATCGCATAATACAGAAAATCGCGAGTAGGTGGGCAGCGGCGGCGGCGGCCTCCGATGACTGTGTGTGCCAAGCGAGAATGTAACGCGGAGACGCTGCGCCCGACGCGACGCGCCCGAGAGGTTTATAGCGGCATTATTAGTGCGACGACACTCGGCGCGCGAGGCTCTGGCACGATGCTTCATAAATATAAATTCAAATGTATAATCGATGAAAGCGAGCGTCTACCGAGCGATGGCAGCTGCATGACAAATGAACGCGTTGGAGTCGTCGTCATCATCATCATCATCATCGTTTGACATCGATCGGGAGTGGAATACGCGATAGAGCCTGAGCAGAAGGATTATCGTAATCGTCAACGATCCCGTCGTAAGACGTAAAGGCCAAATCAGACTAGCAATTGCCGACGCGAATTGGATTGGGATTGGCGATTGACGATTGTCCTCTAGCCAATGAGAGCACAGCAGCCGGCGATTTAATCGACAATCATTGGCCAGAAGACGATCGAAAGCCAATCTCAATCCAATCCGCGTCGACAATTGCTAGTCTGATTCGGCCTTAAGACGGTGTCGCGAGACAACGCACAATGAATTGTCGTAGACGTATGTCGCATCCATCCATGGCGTCGCGAGGCGACACATACGTCTACAATTCTTTGTGCATTCGACTTGTGACTTTAAATCGACGGAATCGCAAACGGCTACGACAATCTTTCTACTCAGACTCCTACTCTTTAAAGCGTGGGAAGGGAGGAGGAATGTTACCACTGCGGCAAAAGTCGTAGCCATTCGATTTATGCGAGACTTGGAATTACAGGTTTACATAATCCGCGGGCACAAATATTTTTATTTTTAACGCATCGGGAAAAATTGACGGACCGTTTTTGGTTGGACTTTGCGCTCGTTAGCGAAAAATGGAAATGGTCTCGCAAAATCGGCAGTAATTCCGTTAAAATAACTATTTTCTTTCCGACTCGTCGACAATATTCGTCGCCGCGTTCGTTTTTCCCCTCGGAAACGTGGAAACAAACAATGGTAATCCGCAAACAGCGAGATATAATGTTGAATTTTCCGTTTCTTTATACGATTAAATAAAATAGCGTAGAGAGCGGCGGCGGGGGATATTGTCATTAAATTCCAAACGATTCGGCCAAGGCCATACGCGTGCAATGACTGCTCACGATGCGTATCGCTGCACGTAGCGCTGCATATAATATCGCGGTTCAAGTTTAGCTACCGCATCCTCCATCCGCGCTTACATTCGCGATCTCGTTCGCCGCTTATCGCGCGTCCCACTTCCCGTCAGGAATTCATTTATCTAGAAGTTATTTTAGTCCGCATCACACCCACGTCCACGGCGAACTTATTTAAGCAGTGAAGTGGCCGGTTAAATTACCGTAAATGTGTAATTCTTAAGAATCTTGGAAATTCTGTCGCGAGCGCGTTTCTTAAATAAATAAAGAGAAGACTCGTAAGTAGCCTGGAAGCATCAACGTATATTTAATTTTATGGGCAATCTCGCAATCTCCCATCGTTAACACTAATTGTAAGCAAGTGCTGTCATAAGAACGAAAGACACCGCTCATTTTGATAAAACAAATATCTTTTGTGATTTATCTTTAGAGGATAATATCGTGTGTCATCGACAACCTCAAAACTGATGAATGCATCGAACTGTGCGATCAAATGAACGTAAAACAAAAATCCCGCGTTTTCTCATCCCAACTCGTCTTCTATGGGAAGCTTTTCTGCCTGTTCGATGGGTGGCTGTTTCATGAGAAAATCTTTGCTTCACTCCGCGCTGGGCAACTCTTCGTCCTGCACGGGCACGTGGGTCCCATATGCCTGTTCAATTTCCGCAAATGTTTTGCCTTTAGTCTCCACCATGAAGAAGATCACAAATAACATGCCCAGGGCACACAAGACGGCAAAGAAGGAAAACACCACGGCATCATCCAGCACTTGAACGGCACTTGGAAAGGATATCGTAACCATAAATGCCAGTAGCCAATTGAAGCAAGCCGCGCTAGACGACGCTGCACCCTTCAGGCGCGTAGGGAAAATCTCGCCCATGTAGGCCCACGGAATTGGTCCTGGCATAAATTGAACGCTCGATAAGACTCTCTGGTAACAATCGGGTTTAACATTGTTCTCGAAAACTGTGAGAAAGCAATTTCGTTCGTGCTGCACGAGCACGTTTAAACGAAGAACTAACATAGATTTCTTAATATGAACTATATAATCTAAAGAAAGAAAAGTTAACTCCGAGAGTATGTATCTTTTTAAGCGGGATGTGGCGTGTTTTCCGATAGCTCGATCGATAGAAGTGCCTCATTGATCCAAACTCACTTATCGCGCGTCATTATTACTAACCAGCTCCGAAGCAGAAGGCGAGTATGTAGACGCACACCGACGTGAGCGGCAGCCAGTGCATTTGATCTGCCAGCTCCGGCTGATAGCGCTTCAGGATGAAGAAACCCGCCAAGGCCGACAAGCAGACGCACATCGTCGCCAAGGAGATCGCCATGAGCAGCTTGCGTCCCAGCTGCGAACGTTTCGATCGCGCCCATAATGCCAGGCGGCCGTTAGATAAATTACAGATCGCGAAATCTGTGAAACACGATGCGACATCACAATAAACCTATCAAAGTGTAACCTTGTCGATCAACAGAGTCGCCGCCACGCAAGCTACCACCTGGACGACACCGAAAATGACCAGCTCCAGCTGCGACTCCATGCCGACGCCCGTCGCCTCGAGGATCGTCAAGCCGTAGAATATTATGGCATTAATGCCGCTGAATTGCTGGGCAAACATTAGACCGTAGGCCACGGCCAGAGTCTTCAACACGGGCTTGCTCATGAAGGCCGAGATACTTGCTCTTTGGAACCTGCTTCTCTCCACTTGTTCCTGTTTCCTCCCATTAACAGACACGTGAATTAATAATACCGGCGCGAAAGTAATTATCGCGCGTTTATATCCTTTTCATCATTAGCAAAATTGAGGGAGGCATTTCTTGTAGGAAGAAAAAAGATCAATTAAGAGAATCTCTCTCACCCGGGTCTGTTATCTTTCAAATTCCAACATTCGTTATTGCCTTGAAATATCAAGTTGTTTTTACCAATTTGCATTTTCGCGCGTCTCAAAAGATTGTATCAAGAATCCCGAATAAATCTTGTACACGCGTGTTTCTCTGGTTGTCGAAATTTAAGAAATTTGCGAGTCCACCGACGAGGTTTAACCAACCTTGAACGCATTCATCTCCGGTTCGATATCGAAATCAGGCCCGCGGAAGAACCGCATGGACTTTCGCGCGAGTTCTTCCTTATTTTTGGTCAAGTAGAACAGCGGGCTCTCCGGCATAAAGACCATCGTCACGCCGAACACGATCGGCGCGATGCAACAGAGGCTGGATATCGCGACCACGTTCCGCGTGAAACCGGTGCAGTATACATATAGTATACCGATCACGAGCAGCAACTGGAAGAAAACGCCCGTCGTCCCTGTTACGGAAAAGGAAGAACCGCATAATGAAGCTGCTACTTCTTCTTCTTTGCTTCTCGTCGCTCGGCTTAAACGACGGTAAATCGCGCGCGCTCGCGCATTAGCGATGCAAGGAGGGCGAGCTCGTGTGCTGAACGATGATAGGCACTAATAACATCGCTCCGCGAGCCGTCTTATTCTGTGTTCCGATTATCCGCATTACACCACGCGTCATTATTACGCATTGAATCATCCGCGTTTCAAATTGTTTTCATCTCGCGCCAAGGCGTATCGGTTTCACGCGGATCTCTTTATACTAACGACATGCCACGATGATACTTGTATTAAATACCACTTTGGTAGCTTTCTTTGAAGTAGACAATATCACAGAACTGTCTTTTTTTCACAGTCGAAGAAATAAAGCGATAAATTTAAAACTTGGACATTATTTAACACCCTGTCTTGGCTCTTTCCGAGTCGAGTATTTCGTCCCGAAATGGGCCTCGATTATTTTATTTTGTCTCTATTTAGACCTCGGAGTCGGTTTGAAACTCCAATTTGAAATCTGGATGAGTAAAAAAAATGTGTTTAACCTCATTCTAACCCTAAAAAAATGTAATAAAATATTTCACCCTCTTAGGCCGAAGAGGATCTACTGAACCTCTGTTGATTACACTCGCATTGGGCTCTTTACTGCTAAGAAGAAAATAGCGACTCTTTCCAGGCCTATCTGAGGTCAAACGTTCAATATATTTTCTCCGACACAAAGACCTTAGTTCGACCTCATTTCTCTCAATTTAAAAACTATACGAGGCCGAAATAGTCGAGTTATTCCTTTATTCCTTCGGCTGTGACTTCAGAGCCTTACGAATATATTGTTAATCTTTTTCAAATATATGCCATAAATAAATGATGCAATTTATGCCGCAAGTTATGCGAGAGTCTAGGATTAAACGCGGAAAGAGGCGAATATACCTCTGATCTGTTTCTCGGAGATCTCAGCCGAGTACATGGGCGCCAGGACGCAGCACATGCCGCCACAGGCGCCGGTCAGGATCCTGCCGATGACGAATAATGGCACCGCCGTGCCGGCGCAGATGAGCAGAATCCAGCCGCTGACGAAGACTGGCACCAGGACCATCATCGTCCACTTCCGGCCGATCCTGTCGACCAGCAGGGGCACGGCGAGGGTGCCTAGCGCCGCGCCTATCGGGAACACCGACGCGATCACGTTTATCGCCAAGTCGTCCAACTGGCTCCTCAGTATTTCGACGCACGGCGCGCTCCAACCGAGGCCGCATCCCAACGAGAATCCACCCATGCAAGCTGCGCGAAAGAAGGAAAAGGAGTTCGTTGACCGCGGACACACGACCACCAGGATTTACGTTACACGTATGGCGATTTGTTCGCCCCGGCGCGGCGCGTCCTGTAACGACGGCCGTTCTTTAAGCCCGCGTTGCGCTCCAAACGCTCCCTCTCCGCTCTGCCCCTTGCCCCGTGCTCCTTTTTTCTCACCGGATGTTCATTATGGCGCTACGCGGCGGCGTTTAATAATTCCGACATGTTCAACGATGCGCCCTCCGCGTTTCTCCCAGCCGCGCTCGTCCTCGCCGTCATTGTCATCGCGACAATGCTCACAGTCATTAACTCTTTGACTCTCGACGTCATGCGCATCGTTTGATGTACCGCAATTTAGCACGCAAACACACAATGTTGCACGACTGCTACCAAGTTTCGAGGTTTTAGAGAATTGCCCAGGAAATACTTTACCGGCTCCCCTGAAATCGACTATCTTACGCAAAGGGGGGAACCTGCGGCAGCGGCGGCATATTGAGGGATTCTCCTGTGAAACAGCTCGACGACGGAACTCCGCTCGTTCTCCGTCATTCTTATTCAGGCTCGGTCACACGATGACTTTCGGCACACCATCGAGAAACGACTGCGTTAGCGACGTTCATTCTTCTTTAAACTTCCCGCTATATTCGTTCGTAATAGGAAAGAGATATACACGATGTTCCATTATCACAACGCTCGTAAAGCCCGTATCGGACTACGGATTAAAATTGAGATTAGATTGAAATTTGACCAATTAGAGTAAAAGTTACGAAACTCGAGATTAGTGAACCTTACTGTAATTGGTCAAATTTTCATCTAATCCCAATCTCAATCCGTAGTCCGATACAGGCTCTACGGTGATTTCGAAACGAGGCGAGACAAGAATGTCGGATCGAATCGCGCGTACGTTAAGCGTGAAAATTTTTTATCGTACCTCACCGCGGTGAAAACTATTTTTCAAGTCTACAACCCAGAAACTATCGCGCAGCCCGAGCCTCTCTCAATCCCCCCCACCCCCCCGAGTTCATTCCTAACGATCGAGTCACGCATGCGGTGCTTCATTATCCCAACGTTGCAGTTAGACGCGTTGCACAATGGAAAACACGAGGAATGGAAAATCGGTTAATCGTAAAGCAGTCATAAGCGGTCGCTCGCGCGACCCAGTATACGCCGGGAAGCCTTTTCCATTCTCTCTCCACTTTTATCCTACCTCGCGTTCCGTGCAAATTCTATTCAAGCGCTATTTCGAGGCGCTTACACGGTGGTTATGTAAGATTGCCGTAGATTACTCCGAATTGGCGTCATAATTCGCGCGATTGCCGAATGATCATTCGCGTGGCGAACTTTCGCTTCTGAGCGACGCGAGGTGCGCACAAAAGTGCGGTCGTGCTCTCTTCTACACGACGTATGTTACAAATAATATGACAATTGTTACGCAGGAGAAGCCAGACAATGAGAATAAAATATTATCGAAAAAAAAACGCAAACATTTCCCTCGGAAAAGGAGATTACAGAAACATCCTTTTACTCGGACGTTGATTTTGCTCGTTCGGCGCGTCGCTCAGAAACCCCTAGAGCTACAGTGCCCTCCATAAGTTTGGAAACGCCCTATATTTTACAAATAAATAATGGCACAGCAGCGATCTGTGCACATGTTTGGCATAAATATATCATAAGTCGTTTAAATAACGTTAATTATACAGGGTGTCTTTCCATATCCGACAAAATTTTTGAGAAGGTAGAACGGATCGAGATGAATGGAAAAGTCCTGTACCATTTTGCAATTTTCGTAATAGTTAACGAGTAATTAATTATTAAAAATCGTTGTCTTAGGCCGGCCTACCGCCCAATTCGAGCGCGTGGCGAGATGTGCGCATAGCAATATCGATCGCCGGGCGGACACATCTTGCCACGCGCTCGAATTGGACGGTAGGCCGACCTAAGACAACGATTTTTAATAATTAATTACTCGTTAACTATTACGAAAATTGCAAAATGGTACAGGACTTTTCCGTTCATCTCGATCCGTTCTACCTTCTCA